TGGTCTCTCAAAGGTAGTTTGGAGTAAGTAAACGCCTTAGAAAAAGGTTTTCATTGCCCCTTTATGGAATGGTAAAACTGTAGATAGATAAAGTCTGAAAATGTAAAAACCTGAGTATATATGCAGATGATTCTAGAAAAGAACGAGCACCTCTTAGTGACAGAGTAGTAGTAAACAGATTGCTAAAGAGAATACTAGTTGCTGTGTACAAGAGAGGGGTTTATCCACTTCAAACCTACCCTTATGATATAAATATCAAGAATGATAGATGAATACCCCAAAGGCAGTGTACAATCAGTCCTGACTTTCTTGTGGTCCTAGATTGGTCATTTGACTATAATAAGTTTCAGATAAAACTTACACTAAAACACTCTTCTGAGGAGATTTGTGACAATATGAATATCCTTCTCAAACTCTATATATAGTGTGTGGTAGTTGAATAAGGCAGTTGTCAGTCTGGCAGGGCGTGGGGGGAAGCCCTACATATTATGACCATTATACCAAACTATATCAAAGGACCATATGAACAAAATAGACTTTGTTCACTGAAATACAGCCATCTGATTTAATGTTAGAAAAGAAAAAAAAAAGAGGGAGGAAGGGAAGGTGGGAAAGGAGAAGGGAGGAACGGAGAGGAGAGAGGACAAATACATATACATACAAACATGCATACCCTAAAAAGCTTTTAAGAGGGCTTTGAAAAATACTTTATAGACAGATCTTAGGCAAGAAAAGAAATTAATATCTTTGGGACATTGCAGAAAATATACGGCAGTAAGCGTTGCACAGACTGACATCTCTAATGCTTCTATCCAGTGAGGTAGAAACTAGTTTTCTGCATGGCTGCTCAGCCCAAGAGCAATGACTTTCAGCAAGAAAACAAAACAAACTGGGACAAGAGGCGCATTAAGGAGAAGCTTAAAGATTGCTGATGAAATATTGAGGGCCATTTTCACAATATATGTGGAGATCATTTTTGTCCGTACTACTAGATTGAGAAATAACTTGTAGGTGTATGACTTTAAATATGTTCTGTTACTTTGTTTTTATTCTCCTGTTAATACAGTCCTGTAGTTGAGTTTCTCCTTTTCTTTTTTTTGTTATTAGAATATTACAACAATTAGGAGAAAACTACTTTTAAAAGACCATTTCATTTACATTTACAAATGGTAAATTCTCTCCCGTGGCAGTGGAGATTCAACTATTTGTTGATAAGGATACCTATAAGCTTTCTTTAATTCAATGATATTCTCATAGCAATAATGATCCTGCCTATTTAGAGTTTTGATTCATCGAAGTAGTTGTTAAACTATTCCACAGTACTCCAGTTGAAGAAATTTGATGGCTTTATTTTGTATGTGCCAAGCCTTGTGCCCTGTTGCAATGCCTAATGGATTTATTTTATTTTTTAAAGATTTATTTATTTATTTGAGAGAGCGAGAATGAGAGAGAGAGAGAGAGAGTACGTGACGGCGGGGAGGGTTAGAGGGAGAAGCAGGCTCCTCGCTGAGCAGGGAGCCCGATGCGGGACTCGATCCAGGGACTCCAGGATCATGACCTGAGCCGAAGGCAGTCGCTTAACCAACTGAGCCACCCAGGCGCCCCGCCTAATGGATTTTAAATGTTTTATCAGGTTTTTTTTTATTATGTTAATCACCATACATCATTAGATTTGATGTAGTGTTCCATGATTCATTGTTTGCATATAACACCCAGTGCTCCATGCAGAACGTGCCCTCTTTAATACCCATCACCAGGCTAACCTATCCTCCCACCCCCCTCCCCTCTAGAACCCTCAGTTCGTTTTTCAGAGTCCATAGTCTCTCATGGTTCATCTCCAGGGGGGGAAATTGGAGGGGGAGACGAACCATGTTTTATCAGTTTTAAATACTTTCCCATGAGTGGTATTATTTATAATTTTATTTTTCACAAGTTACTCCTCTGTTAGCTTTTATTTTTCTTGTACATCTTCAAGAAGTTGAAATTCTTGAGCCCTTGCATGAAACATTTTGTATGTTTTAGTGTTCCCTGGGGGTGGGGTGGGGTAGAGGGATTGTTGGCCTATTTGCGGGATGCTTTATTAATGAGATAATGCATAGGACAGAATGTTGAATATTTTTATATTCAGCTATTTTGTCTCATAACTGGAAACTGGTTGATATTGGGGGAGGGGAGACCCCTTGAAGGAATTAATGTTTTCATTGACATTTCAGAGTGAAACTCTGCTTCCAGTCAATTTGTAAGGAAGGATGTGTAAACTCCTATTTCCTAACTTGTAGCCTTCTGTTTGCCTTAGAGCTTCATCCTCATCCTGTACCCCAACGTCCCAAAGTTAAAGGAATATGCTAGCTTATCCTCATGTATTTTAAAAAGATATCTTGTTTGCAGGGGAAAAAAACCTAGACATTTCATATGCCTTCCTGATGCTTAAAGAGCATAGCTCTTTATAGATGATGTTTATACCATAAGAACAATGAATGGCCAGGAACAGGCAGAAGCAAATAAAGTCAGAAAGCAGAGTAGTTTGTGTAAATATTATTCTTATCAAGGCAAGGACTTACCTGCACATTCACAGTATTTCCAGGCCTGGATGAAGAGAATTCAGATAGACTGGGACAAATGATCCCAAGAGCAGTTTGTAATCTCCATTTCTGTAGATTCTACTACATAATTAAAGAGGAGGTACCACCTCGTACTCACTATTACAATCCCAGTATTTAGTACAGTGGTACATATGGTATTGTCTCTTTTCCCAAAACATGTGCTTGACTTTTTTTTTTTTAATTTACACCAAGGTGTTAGAAAGGTGTTTTTGTTTTTTGTTGTTACTGTTCTTTTTTCTTAAACTATGCATATTATGACCATTATACCAAACTATATCAAAGGACCATATGAACAAAATAGCCTTCTGACTTATCCCTAGTTACTGAAGCTTCTTTTCTAAGAAGGCAAGAATTTCCTGATTTTGAAATTGAGCTAAGCTATCCAGGTTATCTCTCTTAGTGATTGTGGTATTTAATTTCTTACACTAAATAATTGTCCCATTTTCTTTGGGTTATAATCTCTTTTTTAATTACATCATTGATTCTCCTTTTGAATTTACAGTAACAGGGAACTTTTTATTTTT